GTGGTATTGTCTTGACACAATGCTATAAACTTGCTAATAAAATTGTTCTTATTTTATATCCCCTTACTTCAGAAACATCCTGCTAATAAGAACCTGAAAATTCTAATCTGATTGGATTCTTACAATTACATGCCTTTCTTCTAATCTACCATACTGCTTATACTTAAGTATGTTGTGCAATAGTGCAGTACTACATCATGAAATATGGAGTGCTTTGTTTTAGCACTTCACTTTTTTGACGTGATTTTCCACTGCTTGCTCAGTGATGGTTTCATCTTCTTCGATATTTTTTTTAACTTTCTGACCCACCAGATCAAAGATGGCTTCTGGGGGAAATCCCTTAGGCTCTCCCACCTTCACTGTCAGCATGTCAAGTGTCAGTATTGCACCTTCAGGAATTGTCACTTTTGCCACAACAGACTTTCCCAGCTACAGGGGAGAAATTAAAAAAAAAAAGAAAAAGTTTAAATCAAACACATTCCTAGTCTTAGTATACCAAAAAAGGCTAAAAAACATTCTGTGGTTACTTGGGAACAGGTTGTGTGGAACTCTGCTCCCCATTACTCCAAATGAAGGTTGAGCTAGCACGGCAACTTTTACTCTAACTAGGCTGCTGCAAACATCCGAACCTTTCTGAAACTGGATAATGGCTCACTGGAATTTTTCAGAATCAGAGTGGAGAGAAGCTGATTAGACAGACTAGCATTCTAGCTCAGTGTAAAATCAGCTCATCAGTAGTCAGAGACCTATTACTCCTCTTAGTATTACTGAAGACATTGTACTCAGCACTGGTGAGGCAGCAGCTGGAATACTGTGTTCAGTTCTGGGCCCCTCACTACAAGAAAGACATTGAGGTACTGCAGCGTGTCCAAAGAAGGGTAAAAGAACTGGTGAAGGGTCTGGAGCCGAAGTCCTGCGAGGAGCGACTGAGGGGGCTGGGGTAGTTTAGCCTGGAGAAGAGGAACTTGAGGGGAAATCTTATCACTCTCTACAACTACCTGAAAGGAGGCTGTAGCAAGGTTGGGGTTGATGTTTTTTCCCCAAGTGATGGGACGAGAGGAAACAGCCTCAAGTTATGCCAGGGAAGGTTGAGATTGGATATTAGAGAAGACTTCTTCCAAAAGGGTTGTCAGGCACTGGAATGGGCAGCCCAGGGATGTGATTGAGTCACCATCCCTGGAGGGATTCAGATGTGTAGATGTGGCACCTGGGGACATGGTTTAGGGGTGGACTTGGCAGTGTTAACAGTTGGACTCAATATTCTTAAGGATCTTTTTCAACCTAAATGATTTTATGATTCTACTCAACTTAGTTAACCACTGGATGATACACACAGAAATCCATTATACTCAAAATTGTCTACATCATGCTATGTTAAAAATAGTTGCTAACTGCCAGAAACATAAAATGACAGATCTTCGCTAATGTTACAGTGGGTTCATGCTGCTACTAAGCAGCAGAAATTTTTCAGTGCAGAAGCAGAAACACTGCTGCAATAAGCAGCAAGCTGTTTTTCAGAATATAGAGTTATTAGTTACAGGTCAAAATGATGTTCAGCTATACATGAATCAAAAGCAAAAGTTACCTTTTCATTGCAAGCCATTTCACAGGGCAAAAGTTGTTTGACTGGAGAACCCATTGCTTTTTCCACAGTACGGATGGCTTTCACTAACTCTGCCAGTTCATTTGGTTCCAGGGATGCTTGGTGGTCACTTCCTTTCCATGTTTTGTCGAGAGTCACATGGCGTTCCACTACTTTAGCACCCATAGCAACAGCTGCCACTGAAATGGCTATGCCAGTTTCATGACCCGAATAGCCAATGGGGATATCAGGAAAAGCTGACTGATATGCCTTGAATCATGACAGAGTTGGTCTGAATTACCAAATTAGCAATTCCAAAGACAAAGCAAATTTAACAGTGATAATGCAATAAAAACCACAGACAATTACTGTGCCACAGAACAAATGGTTATGCTGAGAATTTTGTGTTGTGTTTTTTGGTTTGTTTTTTTTTAATATTCATCAAGTCACACTGCATTACCTACTGTCACATTTTAAAAATTTCATTAGTATTATCAATACTGACAAGAAGGATGATGTATGTTCTTTTCTACAACTTCTCTTACGCTTTTCCTTTTAATTCAGTTGTACTCTTCATGGTCTTCAAACCCTACATCACTGTAAGTTACAGTAATAACGTAGTTCTCTATTTTCATCCAAGAACCCAGTGCACTGGTTAAACTTGACCTGTAGCCAAAGCAGATTTCTTCAACCCTATATTTAAAATCTGAAGCAATCCTTTCAGCCATATATAGGGGACAATTATCCAGTCCCTAAGGCAATTAAATGCAGCCATGTCCCCTGCTGCTAAAAGTAACTTGCTACATATGCATAAGGCTAGGCAAGTGCTTGAACACTGGCCAATTTGGAAAACTTTCTTGCATCATCATCAGGCATATCCAAGTAGTATTTTCAGTGAAGGACACTATAGAAGGGCCTAATCCATTTTCTTTATTGCTCTGATATTCACATGAAGCATTTTTAAGAAAAGTTTCTGGTCTAGCCCCATTTTGAATTATGTTCTCAATTCCATGCACCTTCTTAATGGTAACCATACGTTATTTTTCCTTTGCACTACAAAGCACAGGATTAACCTGTTAACCATATGTCATATTTTTCTCTGTTGAATTGTGGATACTCCAGTAATACCCTTTCTCATATTCCTCAAAGCTGAGTTATGCTAAAACAGACCATTTAATATACTCGTATAAATATACTCATACCAATATAAAAATGACCATTTTTACTTCCACACTTGAACAAATTAGAAGAACATGATACATCTTCTGACTTCTCAGAAGCAAATTCCAGCATGCCCAAAATCTGGAAATGTATCTCAATAAAAATGCATAGCCCTTCTCTGGTACCCTACCCATGGCCCACTCCAGGTTATTCACTGACCGATATAACACGGAGATTGACATCCTCTGGCTGAAGTGGATATGCACTAGTGCATTGCAGGAAGCAGAAGTTTGGATTGATGGACTTCACAATCTGATAAACCTGACGCATTGTGTTCATCGACTGCATCCCACTGGAAATCACCATTGGGCGACCTAGCCGTTAGAAAACATGCACATGCTTTGTCCTAGGTCTATAAGAAAGCTACACAAGATTAAATTCTTGAAGTAAATTAGTTAAACTAGAAAAGGAAATTGGGTGAAACCTTTTTTTCACCCCATGTCTGAGAATGGTTTTCTTCTAAAGGTACTTCATATTTTTTTCTGAAATCAATTGGAAGAAAGATCTAATAACTGATCTACTGAGACACAGTGATATTTACCAAGACGGCTCAAAAGAAAATGCTTACCTTTCTTTGCAGTCTTTTCCAAATAAGGAAAATTGTTTGTATCTCCTGATCCGACTTTGAAAAATGGAACATCCAGTTCATGTAGAAATTCCACAGCCATCTACAAGGAAATCACTGCATTTTAACACACCAGCTGGATCAAAGACAAAGAACTACCATGCTGGGAATTAAACAACCCTTCAAAATAGCAAAACCAAAGCTTAATTAAATAGGTCACATATATATCACCCCAAAACACACTGGTCGTGAAATAACATTTACTATTCCAAAAATACTCGTTTCTGACTTCCCTTCAGATGAAATATTATTGACGTGCCTTCTTTTATACTTATACTACAAAACCAGATTTTCCACAGGTTTTTGACTGGGATCTCGTCTCAAGGAAACCTCCTTGGTCTCCCAGCCATTGCTGGTCAAGCCAGCTGTATGTACAGCTGCTTAGTACAGATGAGCTGCAATGCTCCTCTAAGTTCAAGAACAACTGGTGTTCTTGAACAGCTTGCTTTTTGTTTTGGCACTACTAGAGAGAACAACTAGCTGCACATAGGAGCTTCGCTGTTGAAGAAGAAATGCAGGCAGTCTTCCTGCCACATACTTCCTACAGGTCAGAAATACTAAGTCACAGACAGAGTGTTTAAAACTACAGGTAGTTTTCCTGAATAGATCTGTCTATCCGAGTATATTAAATAAGCACCTGAAAAAAAGTAAGTGCCCAAAAAGGGAAATCCAAAAGGGATTTGCTTTTGGGAGAGACATTAGAATATAAAATATGTCAAACAATGGATTATAAAACAGTTTATTCAAATAATTATACTCTGCCTTCTTCTAAAAATGTGTGCGCTATATTTAAGACAATTCAGGAATTACTGGAGACTCCATGCAAGTCAATACTGCATCAGTAAGTGAGTAACTGGCCTTTAAAAAATTAGTACTTTTAAAAAATATGTATATATCTCCAACCTATCACAGGGAAGATATTGAAATCCTCCATTCACAACTGAGGGAAACAACAAAATAGTTACCTAACTTTGTCCCCCTTAAACCACCAACAGACAGTTTCTTCAGCTCATTTCTTGTTGCAGTGAAATTTACTTAGTCACGGAAAAAGAGTGCTAATGTCCAGATGAGAATCACATCTTCTCCAGTCTAATTTTTCTATCATCCTTATGATGCAGATTGAATATTTTGTATCTAGGACACGTACCATGTCTTTAATTCAGTTTATTGACTAAGATGCATTGCATGAAGACAATGAATACACCATATTAAAAAGCCACAGATCTAATCAGAGAAGATTGCACAGAATTAAATATGACTGATAGACCTCAGCTCTACAGCCACTCTTCGTTAGGTAAATATCTCTTGCAATTTGGCAGCTTTTCTGTAACACATTCAAGGAACAGGAAGGCATGTCAAATAATAGGGATGACATTAAAGGGAGTGGCTCAATGGGATCCTGTTTTGTCTCCAGTACACCCAGGAACAGAGTACATAAAGGAGTTACTCATAGCCTTTATATTTACTTCACATGTCACTGCACCAATTTCCTCATATAGTTAAATACACAATTTAACCTCTTCAACACAGCTGGAGCTCCAGAGATAATGTTCCGTTTACAGATGTTAACATATTCTCAAGGACTTACTACATCAATTTATGCAATGTTTGCTTTAAGTTCCAAACCCACGTCTTGCAGAAATGCCACCAGAAATCTTAGGCTTTGTGTAATATAATTGTTCAAAAAAGAAGGCAAAAAGCCTGTTGAGGCTAAGCACAAAGCAGCACAGCATCTTGCAAAAAAGGAGCAGGTGTTGTTCGGCAGATCTTCTAGACATGAAGAAAACAATAAAAGAAACATCACAACACTCCGTTCACAGATCTGCATCTATGACATTGGACTATTCCAACACATGCAAAACACCTTTTTGTCTGTCAGACACCTGAAGTAATTTTTCATGGTTGGTGTTTGTACCATCTCATCTGGGACACAGCAATTCAAGGATTTGGATAAGGATTAGGACACTACATTAATAGAAGCAATGGGAATGGCTGGAGAACTGCAGAAGACAGCATAAAAATGTTGAAGGAATTGAAATCGCCTAGTCCAGAGAACAAAAAACAGAAAAGAGAATGTGATAATGGTGTTCAAATACACAAGAGAGGAGATAGAAGGAAGTTACAAACTTTTATGTGCAATGAGGCAGGACAAAAATTTATGAGAAAAGAGATTAAGCTGATACATGAAGAATTCTCTCTGATGGCAAGGAGAGTGAGGCACTGAATAGATCACCATAAAGCATTAAATAAATCCCATCCTTGTCCCATCCTGGGGAAGGCTGCTTGCAGAAGGACAGGGACATTGCTGTGCTTGCCTGATGCAGGAATGGTTAGCTTACTTCTGGAGAGTGTCTTCAGGAGTAACAGGGCAAGGTGGCAGACCCACTCCACGAGATTAGTAAAGAAAAGGGAATATAAGCATTTCTGCTGCTTAGAAACACCAACTGGGGTCTAGTAAACAACTGAAAGGAAAAAAAAAAAAGAGGGAAATAATAGGCATTGAGTTAAGAAAGGAATCTGGTCTAAATGGAGGGGGAAGTTTGAAATGCTTGGAGCTGACATACCAGACAACACTGGACAGCAGTCAGATTGCATTCCTAATCTAAACACTAAAAGCTTTGATTGTTTATGGAGTTCAACTGAGGCCTTGTCTCTAGAATGATTTACTGTGCACAGATACCTCAGCACACACAGCAGGTCTTCCAAACTGTTCAGTCATCTAACTCAGCCACCGTAGAGACACAAGTGAACTGGCAGAAGTACAGTTATTCTAGTTTCTTCATTTAGAAATTCAATGTCCAGGCATATTTAGTATCCTTTCTATGTAAGAACTATTGCACTTAAGTAATAACAACAGGACATAACAGCTGGCCGGTGCTTATCATTCCAGTATGGCTTACATACATACCTCATCCATGCCAGAAGCTGTAAAGAAAATGCCGACCTCCTCTGCATATTTCTTTAGCTCTCTATACTGGTCGTGACTAAACTCCAAGTGGCGCTTGTGCTCTCCGTAGGTCTTTCCCCAGGAGTGTTTAGAGGTATAGGGCCTTTCTAAGGCTTTCTTGTTGAATTTGTACTCCAGTTCGCTCTTCTGGAACTTGGCACAATCTGCTCCACAGTCCTGCAAAACAAGCTGGTGAGCACTGAGTGCACATGCAAGTGAAACTGCACTCATCCTAAGTTTGAACACATAGATTGTGCAACTAATGTGCTCATTTGCAGTGGAGTTTTCACATTATCAACACAGCAATCACAGGAACGGTATGAACACAGAGTGACAGAGGACCTACACACATGAGCCCTTTTCTTCCCAAATGCCTGCACACTTAGTGGAGCAGCAGCCTAGAAAGAAATCATACTACGGAACGACAAAACTGACTGCCTCTTGCTATGCATGCCGCATTTGAAGAGTTGATTTCTGTGGTGTTCTCCGAGCTCTGCTGTCACATTGTAATTTTATGTGAAAACAAGTGGCAGGATTCTGCAGAACAAGGAGCATGAATCTGAAATTTGTCTTAAGTGACACAAGTTAAATTCTCACTACGCTCTTCTGCACTTACACCACAGTCACAGGTCTGAACACAAGATGCTCTGACATCCCAGTGACGATACGCCGTTTTCAAACGCAGATCTACCTAATGCATACAGCTGTAAACCAGCTTGGCTGTCGTACTTGATGACACAAATGTTACCTCAAAAAAACCTAATGCAATCAAACCAGTCCGGAGGTTCATCAGCGGCAGTTCAGCAGTCCGACTCCTCCCATGTACAGCCAGGGCTGCTGTAACCTCTCGGAGACTGATTGGCTGCCTGCGCCTATTCACCGGCGTGTGCCGAGAACGACGCCGGCGCTTCCTGAGCGCGAGTACGAGGCTGACCACAGGCCGGGAAGCGCTTTTCGGCCCCCGCCGCGCTGGCACTCACCGCGACTGTCTCCCTGCAGATACTTTAGAAACTCCTCCTGTACCTCGCTCCACTCCCCCTCGCGGTGCCGCCGCCCGGCTGCGATGCTCCCCGGCCGGAGCGTCCCTGACACCC